AACACAACTAGAGGGCTATAATGAAACCTGGCTGTCAGTCTGTTTCTGAAGTACAATGTTCTGGTTAATTATCTCTTTTTATTCATTTAGGGTTTAACAATAATCTAAGTTTTCAAACTCTCTACTGTAAGAAGAAAGGCATTCAAATACTGGTTTTGGAAGTTGTGCTGATCTAAGACCAATTTTTGTTCTGCATTAGTCCATACCTCAGTCACACTACAAATGATTAGTTGTGTTGATTGTGGGTAATTTCTTTTAAAAACTTTCTCATCTTTATTGAATATGAACATACTTTTTCAGATGAAATCATCAGAGAGAAAACCACAGAACGAGACAAGGAAAAGCAGAAAGAAAAGAAGAAGCACAGATTAATGTCTGAAATAAAAAAAGAGAATGGAGAAATGAAATTATTTCAGAAAGGTGAGCATAGTATTTTTCACACATGATGATGTTATATACATGAAATATTTTTTTAAAATGCTTGTCTGTCTGTCTCTCTGTCTGTCTGTCTGTCTGTCTGTCTGTCTGTCTCTATCTATCTATCTATCTATCTATCTATCTATCTATCTATCTATCTATCTATCTATCTATCTATCTATCTATCTATCTATCTATCTATCATCTATGAGAGTTAAAGACAACTACACAATTTTTGTCCCTGAAATGTGAATTTGGGGTATCTTTTTAGGATTCCACTCTTATATGAAACAAAAAATATTTGTAGCACTATTAAAAATAGGATGTGTGTGTGTGTCTGTCTGTCTGTCTGTCTGTCTGTCTGTCTGTCTGTCTGTCTATCTATCTATCTATCTATCTATCTATCTATCTATCTATCTATCTATCTATCTATCTATCTATCTATCTTCGGTTGGGTTTCTATTAACAGTGACCACACTATTATTTTGTATTGCCTATTAAATTGGTTTTCAGATGTTGTTATATGGTGGCCTGGATTGTGCTTGGGATTAATTTCAGAATTAATCTGAAATTAGAAATCTATTGGGGATGAAATTTGTGGGGATCTTTTATTCTGCCATGCTACATTGATGAATTCGTATTTTATTGCCAAGAAAAATGCTCTGCAAAGATAACCTCACAATTTGGCTGCAAATAACCACCCCAGGAAGCTGAACAGGTGCATAAAAGTGATTAATATATCCAAACTTAAAATACAATTAGTCCTTAAGGATGGTGGCAGGGGTGGGAGACGATGACTACTCTCAAACATGTAGCCATATTAAATTGATAATCCATGACAGTAGTGTAATAATATAAATGGCCCAAACTCATATGATTTACAAAAGACTCTCTTACATGTAGGTATTATCCAAACATCAAACCAACCCACCAAGCCAAAATCCACAAGCATTTGAAGTCCATCAAGCCAAAATCTGGTAAAACACTACTAATCTGGATAGAAGGATTTAATCAGTATTGGTTTTATCTTTTAAAACCTTGACTGAGTCCAACTTATTTGAAAAATAACTTCAGTCTGTGTGCTTGTACGTTTATACCCTGATGATATAAGCACGTAAGGCAGCTTACAAGAATAATAGAAAATCTGAAATGCACTAAAGTCAAAATGGAAAGCATTACAATAAATGCAACTAAAATACCTTGACAGTTAAAAACTTGGCACAGTTTGAAATTTTGGGATAGAAGGAACCAAATGAGGCTACTTGGAAAAAGGGGAGCTACTGGGAGCTACTTAGGAGGGAAAAAACCCGTTCTCCAGTTCACCAGACAGCTGAGCTTCTGCCAATGATCCAAGCATCTTCTGAAGCTGCTCACTCATGATCTAAATACGGAGCAGGTTCGTAGCAGGAAAGGCAACCCCTTAGGCCATAAGCCATTTAGGGTTTCCAAAGCCAGTGTCTTACAACATCTTACATAACTTTGTAGACTGTTCTAATGCATGCCAGGCTTGTGCTCTCATTCAGGATTAAATCCTGATAAGAGCTGTTTTGCCAAGAGTTGGCCTGGCATTTGAAGGCAGAACGTTGAGGCTGTAGAGTCCATCTTTGCTGAACCCTTGACTTCCTTGTGCGGACCGTCACTTGAAAGACAGGAGAACAACTAACTGCCTCCTTTTCTTAACCCTGCAGCAGTCTGGTTGCAGTCTCCTCTGAAATAATAATAATAATAGTAATAATAATAATAATAATAATAATAATAATAATAATAATAATAATAATAATAATAATAATAATAATAATAATAATAAAGTTGGAAGGCACCTTGGAGGTCATCCAGTCCAACCCCCTGCTCAGGCAGGAAACCCTACACCATTTCAGACAAATGGCTGTCCAGACTCTTCTTAAAAACTTCCAGTGTTGGAGCATTCACCGCTTCTGGAGGCAGGTTGTTCCACTGGTTAATTGTTCTAACTGTCAGGAAGTTTCTCCTTAGTTCCGGGTTGCTTCTCTCCTTGATCAGTTTCCATCCGTTGCTTCTCGTCCTGCCTTCAGGCGCCTTGGAGAATAGCTTGACTCCCTCTTTTTTGTGGCACCCCCTGAGACATTGGAACTCTGCTATCATGTCCCCCCTCGTCCTTCTCTTCATTAAACTAGACATACCCAATTCCAGCAACCGTTCCTTACATGTTTCAGCCTCCAGTCCCTTGATCATCTTTGTTGCTCTTCTCTGTACTCTTTCTAGAATCTCAGCATCTTTTTTACATCGTGGTGACCAAAACTGGATGCAGTGTATGTCCTTATACAGATAATACTTGGCTTACAATCATTCGTTTAGTGACTGTTCAAAGTTAACTCTGGCACTGGAAAAAGTTCAAAGTTACACTGGCCCTGGAAAAAGTGACTTATGACCATTTTTCACACTTGTGACTGTTGCAGCATCCCCAGGACCATGTGATCAAAATTCAGACCCTTGGTAACCGATTCATATTTATGATGGTTGCAGCGTCCCGGGGCCACGTGATCCCCTTTTGTGATCTGACAAGCAAAGTCAATGGGGAAGCCAGATTCACTTAACAAATGTGTTAACTGACTTAACAACTGCAGTGATTCACTTAACAACTGTGGCGAGAAAGGTCGTAAAATGGGGCAAAACTCACTTAGCAACAGAAATTTTGGGCTCAATTGTGGTTGTAAGTCAAGGACTACCTGCACCAATTCTGCCATCAGAATTTATTTCCAGGCCTGCAAAAAATCCAGATCAACAATGCATGGCAGCGTGTCTTCTGTCTTGCTTGGTTTGCCGTTGATTGGCTTTCCTAATTTTCCACTCTTCCCCATCTCCTTCATACATCCTGTAACACCAGATCATGATCAATAAAAGAAGAACAATTCTCTCCCGTTGCGTCTGCATAAAGACGAGCGCAACGATCTACCCAAGGAATCGGTGTCAAGAGTTTCCAGGAGAAGCTTCTCCTCCGACCGCAGCCTCACTGCTTCAGGAAGTAGATGGTGCAATTTTTGCAGAGTCTCTTCAGCTAGCAAAATTTAAGCAATTGAGGTCCAGCAAACCAAGTGAGAAGCAGCTGTTATCTTTGCAGCTTCTCTCCAGTAGTTACTGCAGGCTGATATTACTGCTTTCTAGCCTGCAAAACTCCAAACAATTATCGGATGGTGGCGAAAAGATACGGAAAACATTGACTTTTTCCTGCCGCCAAGCACCCATTGGAATATTTATTTAATCATTCATTGTGCTGCTCTGTCGTCAAGCACCTTGCAGACTTCTGAAACAGTAATGAGATAAACTGGAGAAGAACAATATGTTGGTAACATTTCCTCCTGCTGATGAAAAGCTGTATCCCATATACTGTATCCCTCTCCACCACCACCCCTCGCCCACCACCACCATCAGGAAAACGGGAATAATCCCTCTTGAGTCCAAAAGACTCGCTGAAACAGCAGCCTAGTGTTTATGGCAAGTTAACAGGGTTGTCTGCCTTCAGGGGGATCCTATTCTGGAGAAGGGAACTAACAACTTAAACACCTGCCTCCAGGAACTCTGCGGATAATATTTGTCTATGACTAGGATATGACTAGGAATCCCAGATCTTTTTGCAACTTCGTAGCTTAACACAGTGGCCCCCAACCTTTTGGGCACTGGGGACCGGTTCTGTGGACAGAGGTTTTTCCGTGGACCAGAGGGAGCGTGGTTTCGTGTGCCACCTGCATCCTGCAGATGGGGGCTTCACTTGTTTGCGTGGCCTGGTCGCTAGCATACCGTGGCCCGGTGCCGACCCACGGAGCGGGGGTTGGGGACCCCTGGCGTAACATATTAATGATTTAAGTAAATAATAATAATAATAATAATAATAATAATAATAATAATAATAATAATAATAATAATAATAATAATAATAATAATAATAATAATAAAGTTGGAAGGGACCTTGGAGGTCATTGAGTCCAACCCCCTGCTCAGGTAGGAAACCCTATACCATTTCAGGCAAATGGCCATCCAGTCTCTTCTTAAAAACTTCCAGTTTGGAGCATTCACCACTTCTGGTGGCAGGTTGTCCCACTGGTTAATTGTTCTAACTGTCAGGAAGTTTCTCCTTAGTTCTAGGTTGCTTCTCTCCTTGATTAGTTTCCACCCGTTGCTTCTTGTCCTGCCTTCAGGTGCTTTGGAGAATAGCTTGACTCCCTCTTCTTTGGGGCAGCCCCTGAGATACTGGAACACAGCTATCATGTCACCCCCTCGTCCTTCTCTTCATTAAACTAGACATACCCAATTCCAGCAACCGTTCCTTGTATGCTTTAGCCTCTAGTCCCCTAATCATCTTTGATGCTCTTCTCTGTACTCTTTCTAGAGTCTCAACATCGTTTTTACATCGTGATGACCAAAACTGGATGCAGGATTCCAAGTGTGGCCTTACTAAGGCCTTGTAAAGTGGTTAAAAGTTAAAAGTGATATTGCTGTTCTTCAGGATTCCCGCGTAGTATGTTTACTATTAGGATACCGTTCGTCTTCATGTCGCTCCAGCTTTTGTTCAATTAAAGCGAACCTTTCTTTTCTTTTTTTTATAGATGTAAAAGAAAAGGTGAAAAGCAATGCAGACGATCTACAGGTCAAAAAAGTGAAGAAGAAAAAGAAAAAGAAACACAAAGAGTGTGAAAAACGGAAGCGTCCCAAAATGTACAGTAAATCTATTCAGACCATCTGCTCAGGATTGCTTTCCGATTTGGAGGATCAGGAAGCCAAAGGCATTGCGGATCACCACCACCATCACCATCATCATCCTCTTAAAGATTTCAGTGAGAAACATAACAATCCCAAGAAGGACTCTGAGTCCGAGAGAGCGGAGAACAGTGAGTTTGCCTTTGTCTCGTTAAAGGAGCCACGGGTTCAGGATAAGCTCCAAAGGTTGGACGCGTTGGAGTTCAAAGAGTTCATTCATGTTGAGCACCAGCCTAACGGAGGTGCCTCAGTGGTTCATGCCTACACTAAGGAGCTCTCCCACTTGTCTCCTGTGGAGATGGAGAGATTTGCAGAAGAATTTCTGGCTTTGGTTTTTAGTGAACAGGACAACTGTGCAGCTTACTATGTAATGGGAATTGTTCACGGGGCAGCTACTTACTTACCTGACTTTTTAGACTACTTTTCGTTTAATTTTCCCAATTCGCCAGTGAAAATGGAGATTTTGGGAAAGAAAGATATAGAGACTACGACTATGTCCAATTTTCATGCTCAGGTAAGAGGTTAATCTTTCATCTTTCAAAAAAAAAACCAAACATGTCGCTTCGTATTCAATGTTCCAGTTGTTGCTCCTTTTCTCTAACAAATAATAATAAAATAAATATATTAAACGTGACACTGAGCTTCCTAAAAAAATATATATATATTAAATACTAGTGCCTTTTCTCTTTATACCATGCTACTACGTAGAAAACAAAAATGATAGCCTAACATCTATTTTTGATAAGGCAAATGAAAAGGTCCTGTGAATTACCTGCTCGCAGTTTTGATTGCCTACCTAATTCATTGAAATTCTGTGTTGTATTCCTTGTTGGCTCTGGAGCAGGAGGTGCTAGTTTTGTATATTCTGAATGTCTGTGGACCTTTCTACTTCCATTAAGGTTGAAAAACAAAAAATAGAATGGGAAACTGCAGGGGAAAGAACAATTCTTAAAAGTGATTAATAAAAGTCAAAAGGGGGTCACTTCGTCTAAATGTGAAATGGCTGCGGTCCTATATATGCTTATCTGAGAATCAGCCTGCCTGGACCCAGCAAATGCTGTATGTGGGATGGGGGAATGTGGCCACACACATACACACAAAGAGAAGGAGATTGAGCCCACCTTGAGGTGTGCTTGTGTTACATTAATTGAAGGAAAAGAAAAGCAACACATCCAACCCTTCTGTTGCAAAATTAGAATTATAACTCATGTTTGTTTTATGCCTGCAAGTGGATTTATGAAAGATTGATAGTTTCTGATTTTAGATTTTCCACTGGACTTTGTGTAGTTATAAAAAAGAAAAGAAAAGATTATTCTTGATTTTTTTTCACATATTACTATTTGTCAATTCCCTATAAACAAACTTCCAGCAATTTTCTGCTTGACTGAAAGAAGGTGGAGGCGTTTAAAGCAAAATGGAACTGAAATAGTGTGGGGTATAAAGTCCTTTTCATGTTGTAGAAGTCGTATGGTTTGGCTGATGTTTGAGTTCTCCTTTTGGGCCACTGTTTATTTTGAAGCACTTAAAAAGAAAGAGACCAAGAGTATTCATCATTTAGTATTCATTCCATGGGAAAGTTCAATGTTATGAGCAAGATTGTTACATTTAATGAACAAGCTTTGCTGTATGTGGGATGGGGGAATGTGGCCACACACATACACACAAAGAGAAAGAGATTGCCCCATATACCCATTTATAGGGCAGGGAATCGCTAGGATTGGTTTCAGCTGCACTTGGAAACCTTAGGTTGAAAAAGTGAGAAAGCAAGGTGCTTTACAGGATCTTTTGCCTGTTTTTATCATTTCATTTATTTATTTACTTGTTTGTTTGTTTGTTTGACCAGTATGCTCCCAGTCTCACCTAGAGGTGACTGGATTTTATTTCAGTCTACTTCGACGTCGTCTCAAATTCAGGATCCTCTTCATTTCAATTAAATGTAATCATCTTAATCTCTTATCTTACTTGTAGTCTAAAAATAGCAAAAGGACCTACCTGGGTAATGAAGGGCAAAAATGTCAAAATATTCATTGAAGGGTTTAAAAATATTTCCCAGCTCTGGAATTGGAACGATGTTATAATTATAAAAAACATTTATGCCATCTGCAGGAGGAATTAATTGCATGTTTATACAATATCTGCACCTAAGAAATATCTTAAGACGGCAATTTGAAGGAGGCATCAAAGAAGCCAGGTTAACAACCAATTGAGCTGTTTAAAAGCCTGTAAAATAAGAATTTCTTGGCTGCTTATCTATCTCAAAAGGATCAAGGCAGAGCAAAGTCAAATTGAAGTGCTGCATTGAAAAAAACTGTACTGTCACCATCTGGCGTTGGCATGCCTTTTCTTGTAAAAAAACCACAGTTTTTCAATGGCCCCAGCTGTCAGGGCAGATTCTTTGGGAATAGATGGACTTTCCAATGTTCTTATCCCAGGCAATTTAAGATTCATATCAGTTATATGCAGCACTTTGAATTGGACCTGAAAACTATCCACCAGCAGGCTGTAAAAAATGGTTGGGTGACCACATCTTGTTCTATCCTCTTTCTGGATACTCCTTAATGAGAGTTTCATGTAGAATATGTTACAGCAATTTAATTTGGATGTGAAATTACACAGCTTTTGTCAAATCTGGGAAAATTCTCACTGAAGAGAATTCTGGAATTCCATACATGTGAAAATGACTCATTGGAGAAAGGTGATGTAAAGATATACAATAGAAATAGGTTTTAGAGCAGTGTTTCTCAACCTTGACTATTTTAAGGCACGTGGACTTCAACTCCCAGAATTCCACAGCCAGCATTGCTGGCTGTGGAATTCTGGGAGTTGAAGTCCACATGCCTTAAAATTGTCAAGGTTGAGAAACACTGTTTTAGAGGAAAGAATACAACAGCAGTGGCTGAGGTTGACAACGGCATTCATAGCCACAGTCACCTTGATACTGAGGAGTATTTCCAGAACATACCAAAATCACAAACCTCATCCTTCACAGGGACTAGAACCCCAAACCTCATCCTTCACAGGGACTAGAACCCCAACCAGAATTACCACCCAGTCGATTGATTGTCTGTTTTGTCAGAATCTTAGCTTGTTTACATCCAGCCCATGTCTAGAATCAGTGATACTTGGTGTTATTTGGGGGGAAAAAATTAACAAATTGTGAGGCGAATTATGTAAGGTGGAAAACATTTGTTGAACTTTATGCCAATACATCGTGGTTTATTTTGGAGAACTAGCTCAAAACTGAACTCCTTTGAAATTTATTTATACATATATTGCCTTTTAGGTATTGTTTTCTTCCTGTGAAAACAGTTTGTATCAGTTTTGGTTTGTATCCAATATGTGTTTTGAGTATTTGCAAGTTAGTTTCCGCATTTGCAAGTTAGTTTCTCTCCTCTTCCTTGTCTTCAGAGAGGAATTATGTTAGGAAAAGAATATTGCTACTAGGATGAACAAGGGGCTTTGCGGGGGGAAGAAACCCAGTTGCACTTTTCACAAATTGGAGTAATGAAAAGCTTGGCCCAAACTTAACCAAGTTTATTGGAGATGTGAAAGGCAGGCGTTGAGTTGCTAGATTATGTACCCGTTGCTGAATTATTTCGTTCCTAACTTTCATTCGTTCGTTATCTGTTTCCTGTTTGATTTTTTTTTAAATGAAAGTTTTGTATGTTTGAGGGATGTTGTTAAACTGTTTTATCTTTTGGCAAAAAGATATATACATTGTTGTATTAATAAATGGAGGATTTCTAAATGACAGAGGGGGAGGAACTCTATTCATGTCATGGAAAATGTGGAAGAGATGCTGTCTAGCAAATAATCAGACAAGAGAAGCAGGAGCACCCCAGCTGCTTACTGTCAGTGGAAGAAACTTAGGAAGGACTTCCCCTAATTCAGGGCTTTTCAACCAGTGGTACGGGTACCACCTGTGGTACATTGGCACCTGGCAGGTGGCACGCGACCATCCTAGAAAAGTGGTAGCAGGGGAGGGGAATGAGCTGAACCGGTGGCAGCACCGCACAAGCCTGAGCGAGAGATGGCTGGAGCTGCAGGGCTGCCAGGGCTCAGTGGAAGCACCAGGATCAGCGCCAGGCTACAGCTGGAGCTCGGCACTGATCCTGGCGCTTCTGCTGAGCCCAGAAGAAGCGCCGATCAGCTGGAATGTTGCAGCATCTCCAGGGTCTTGTGATTTACATTCAGATGCTTGGCAACTGATTCATATTTACGACGGTCACAGTGTCCCAGGGTCATGGGAAGTGACCAAGACCTGCTGCAACCACCCAGCAGGCAGAGGGAATAAAAACCAAACAACCCCCCCACCCCACTCCCACTGCCAATCCTCAACAGAAATGCTCACAACAATGAAAACCTCAGACAGGAGGAAGAGCGCGGGCGGGCAGGCAGGTGTCTTGCTCGGCTGTGGCTTGGGGGGCACTTTTTTCAGTACCATTGTAACTTCGAACAGTCACTAAGCGAACTGTTGTAAGTCGAGGACTACCTGTACTTCATCACTTTTTCTTTCTTTTTCTTTTTTTGGTCATCAAGTTTTTGACACCTTGCTGGGCGACTGGAGGTACTCGGATGTTGCCCTATCCTAAAAGTGGTACAATGGGTGAAAAGGTTGAAAAGCCCTGCCCTAATTGATCAAGCAGCTCAAAGTGGCGGCGGGGGGGGGGGGAGAAGTTTGTACTTTCAGACTTGCAAGATTGACATCTGCCCTCCCAGGTAAACTGGACAGGAAACATGAACTAATTCTATTGTGTTGTAAGGCCTCCTTAGCAGAATCTTGCAAGTCTGAAAATACAAACTTCCTGCCAGCATTTCTAACTGCTTGATACATCAGGGCGGGTCCTTCATACGTTTTTTTCCTTGACTGTCCTTTTATTTCGACTTATTTAGATTTTTTTTTTCATCCTGCCTTTATTATTTTTTATAAATAACTCAAGGCAGCGAACAAGAAGCAGGTCTGGGGAGTCCTTGGCTCTCTTGTCTGATTGTTTCCTGAGAAAAATCTCTTCCCCAAAATCATCCCCACATTCCATTACAGCAAATTACATGATTTTGCTCCTGCATGGAGAGACGTAGGATTTCGCCCCGGTTCCATTGTTTTTATAGAATATAATTTGCTGCTTGTCAAACTGGTTCATTTCATTCTTGTGCTAAAAATAGGACGGGTTCAGTCACAGCGTGTGTAATCGCTCTATATTTAGAGACTTGAACAAAATGCCTGCTAGAACTTAAGAGCAGATTTGCCCCATTCTTGATGCACCAGAGTTCGCTCTCCAACCACGACCCATACTAAAACAACTTAAGATTGTTAAATTTTGAGATGGTACCTTTTAATGACTAATTAATTTACTTTAGGAATGTTCCCAGTTGAAGGTAAAAAATTATACAGTGGTATTAAAAAAAATTGTTCTGAATTTTTTAATGCCATCATTATAGTCCTATATATAGTCCTATACCCCAAGTCCTAAAATTAAATTGGGGGAACCCAGTTTAAACAAAACAAGTCAAAAC